ATGCACAATTTTAAATTATCCATAGGTGACACTTTAAATGCCTTTTACAGGTTATTAGTTTAGAGTTGCACAGCAACTCTGGTGCTAGAATTGCTCACTCTGACGGTTTGCAGTAATATTTCGTATGTGTGGTGTGATTACCTTTGCGCGTGAGCACAGAGGGTGGGGGTGCTTTAAAAGTAATCTTAGCAGCTATTATTTTTTAACAGTGAGAGAATTGTCCGATATAAAAAAAAAAAAAAAATACTGAGGGTCATGCTTGTAGGCTCAAACATGATCCCGGTAGAACTCTCAATATCAGGACATTTTTCGTACAACCAACCGTAGTCAAGTCATAATGTACTAGTATACACTGCACAGAGCTCTCCAGCGTTGTCACAGCTCCCCCTGGTCCCCTTTCTTCAATCTTCACTCAGTCTTCCTTCCGGGTTCCATATCTTCAGCTGCTTGAATGGCCAGGTATGGGAGTAGCATCATGGCACGCAGGCTGTAAATGTGGTCTAAGCTGCTCATGCACATGCTAGATCACAATGCTGAAAGTCTTTACTGTTTAAACCTTGCCTGTCTGTTTTGTTTTTTTTTTTTTTTTTTTTTATTTGACTTCTCTACCACTTTAACTGTTACTCACAAAATGGAACTTATCTGCACAAAATGATTTTGTTACAAAAGCTGCAAATTGCATTCTAATAGCTTGAATACATTTATTTACAGACAAAAAGTTACTGCAGCCATACTTGCTGGCCACTTTATTAGGTACACCTTTCTAGTACCAGGCTGGATCCCCTTTTGGCATCAGAACTGCCTTAATTCTTCATGGTATAGATCAGGGACAGACTGACCATTTGGAAACAAGGGCACTGCTTGAGGTCAGTAGGGGGCCCCATTAGATGCCCCTGGTACTTTTTTTTTTTTTTTTTTTTTCCCCCCTCTATAGGCTGAGTTTAGGCAAGGACACAGGGGCCACATGATCCCCTATTGCCCGGGGGCCCCATGAGTTGCCAGTCCACCACTGGTATATTCAAGTATGTGTTGGAAACCTTTCTCAGATTTTGGTCCATATTGACATGATAGCATCACGCAGTTGTTGCAGATTTGTCAGCTGCACATCCATGATGCAAATCTCCCATTGCACCACATCCCAAAGGTGCTGTATTGGATTGAGATCTGGTGAGTGTAGAGGTCACTGCAGTACAGTGAGCTCATTGTCATGTTCAAGAAACCAGTTTGAGATGATTTGAGCTTTGTGACATGGTGCGTTATCCTACTGGAAGTAGCCATCAGAAGATGGGTACACTGTAGTCATAAAGGGATGGACATGGTCAGCAACATTACTTAGGTAGGCCCTGGCATTTAAACAATGTTCAATTGGTACGAAGGGGCCCAAAGTATGCCAAGAAAATACCCCCACACCATTACATCACCACCAACCTAAACTGTTGATACAAGGCAGGATGGATCAATGCTTTCATGTTTACGCTAAATTCTGATTTAACATCTGAATGTCGCAGCTGAAATTAACTCCTCAGACCAGGCAACTTTTTTCCAATCTTCTATTGTCCAATTTAGAGCCTGTGTGAACTGTAGTGTCAGTTTCCTGTTAGCTGACAAGAATGGCACCCAGTGTGCTTCTGCTGTATCCCATCTGCTTCAAGGTTCGACGTGTTGTTACAGCCAAGGTATGCAGAATATCATCTCTGAATGCACAAGTGGCTATCTGAGTTACTGTTGCCTTTCTGTCATCTCAAACCAGTCTGCCCATTCTCCTCTGGACATGAACAAGGAATTTACGTCCACACAACTACCGCTAACTGGATATTTCGGACCATACTCTGCTGAGCTTTTCATGCACAACAATCTCGTAGAGTTTATAAAAAAAAAACCTGTAATCAGACTAGCTCATCTGGCACCAACAATCATGCCACATTCAAAGTCCCTAAAATCCCCTATTATGATGCTTGGTTTGTACTTAGTTGTCTTCACAACATCTCAATGCCTAAATGCATTGAGCTGCTGCCTTGTGATTGGATAATTAGCAATTTGTGTAATCAAGCAATTGAACAGGTGTACCTAATAAAGAGACTGGTGAGTGTATTCTTTAATAAAAAAAAGTTCCAGTAATTGTATGAAGATGGTTAAATATAACCAGTGACGCATGATATCCAGTTTAGTGGACAGATTAATAATTGTAATTTCCACCCAAGATAAAATACCAGTAAAAATCTACTTTACAGTAGGTTCCTTTTTTTTAGGTGTTGCTTTGTTACCATATTTTTTACAGGGTTATGGGCAACTATACAGTCAGAACCCATGCACATACAAGAGCCACTTTTAAAGAGCTGGTCACTGTAGTGACCACTTGGCAAGAGCATTACTCAGTCTTAAAAACCTCCTTTTAACTCTTTCATGCAAAGTAGCAAGGTTGCCTGAAAAATCTATGCAAAAATCTGGAAAGTGTCTTCCAGTTTGTGTATGCAGAGGGTTGTTTCCCTCCCTTCAGTCCCTACTGTACGGAGTTTCTTCAAGACTTGCAGAAAAAAAGTCTTTATTTTTGGATTTAAGATTCTGGTAAGGTTCCTGTTGGCAAGGGAGGGGGGGTCATTCTATTTTTTTTTTTTTTCCCCCACCATCAGATTTGTCTAAGCTACTGGATGACTTGACTACATAACTATTTGAACCTATTGAATAAGTGTTTTAAAATTTGACCCTTACAGCTATCCCATCTGTTATAGAGCCTTTCCTAACCATCTTATGAGATGGGGTCATATTGAAACCAGACCCTCTATTTACCAAAGGTATCATCCCTGTTTCACAGGTCCCAAGAAATAGTTCTTATTGTAATGGCTATAAGGATCCAAGGGAGAAGTTTCAGTGCTAGGATGTCAAGGCGTAACCTCAGCTATCTAGAAAGAGCTAAAAACATCTTTTTTTAGCAATTTTGTTTTTAGTTACCCAGAAAAGGTTTATAGACTGCCATGGAAACTATTACAAGATTGCAAGATGGATTAGGCAGGCAATCTCCCTACACAAATGCAGGTTCTCAAATTCCTTCTGAATTGAAGGCCCACTCCACCAGATTGTTGGCACAGTAGCCACTTTTTTTTTTTTCTTTTTTTTTTTTTTTACACTCAGGTTTGCTGTCCTGGAAGATGACTGGGGATCTGTTAGAATTACCAGTAATTTTAGTTTCTGGGAATTTTCCCGGACAGCAGACTTCCCACCCTGGACTTTTTGATGTTGGAATATATGGTTCCCTTTGTGCACTAGTGAAGGTAGTCTACTTATATTTTAACTGAGGGATGAGTGGGTAGATGTTGGTTTTACCAGCTTGTTCTGATTACTTCCTGTCAGGGCGGAGCCAATCGTCTACTCTCCTGGAAGATTCCAAAAAACGACTTAACGGTTACCATTAAGAGTAACTGGGTTATCTATATTAGTGCAGTATTTATAAAGCACAGAAAAGTTTAATGCGTTTACATTTTTCCTTAAACTTTAATGCCTGATCCAAAAGCAAATTGGGTGGTAAATTACATTTAGCCAGTATCATGTGTCTTCAGGACACTTGTGTTGCAAGAGCACCATGAGACTTTAGGGATTTGTAAACAAAGCATGGCACCTTCCATGGTGTGCTATCTCAACACTATCATCAGGGACCATGTTCCCATAGTAAAGGAGCTGCAAGCTTTCAGACATTATGCCACTTCAGTCGGCATGCCTTCAGTTAAGGGGTGCTTTATTCTCTTGCAGCAGCATTGTGCAATAAGAATTTTCACAATTGTGCTCCTTCTTTCAAAGCTCTCAAATGTTAATATATTTGATCTAGTACTGAAGTGTATGTATAGCCAAAACGTTTTAATAAAGTAGGAAAGTGTTAAAACCCTACCAGGTTTCTAATGCTGTGAGATCCCTTTTACTTCCTGTCCTGAAGACACAAGAAAAGAGGGGATATTCATCATAGACCTTTTTGTCATCAAGACATTGCTTCACTGGAAGATTTTCCTTTATCTCTTGCTCAACTAAGTTTATGGTTGAAAAAATTAGATGCATTTTGATTTTACAATTGTTTTATATTGTGTGTGTGTATATTTGGCAGCCCTTTCTGTCAGGGAGCCCAGGGCAGTTGCTCCTTTTGCCCCCTTTTTTAATTACACTATAGGCAGTGCTGGGATTTAGTGTTGCTAAACCCTAAACAGTAAAATCAATCTGTATATGCAGTAAAGCACGCTTGTTATACTCTGGAATCTAAGGGATTAATCCTCTACATTGTGTAAAATGCTGTTTGATCCTGACTTCTCTGATCCTTCCCTTTTTCAAGAGTACTCTTCTCCCCCCCCCCCCCCCCCCCCCCCAACCCGTATATCTCATAAGATCTATCGTGGAGACATTCTGCACATGCTCAATATGGTGTGTTGCTGGGGGGGGGGGGGTTTGTTTGTGGGTTCTCCCTCCCCCCTCTTCCTTGAGTGCATGTAATCGGCAGATGTCAGGGGTTCTGCATCCTCCTAGAGCAGAAAATCACTTTTTACAAGATTAACCAGTGCCCTGCTGGACACAAAGTCCCAAGACTGCTCTAACTGCTGATGAGAAAAGGTATTTAGCAGTTTGTTTACTAAAATTATTGCATTTCCATGTAGTGTGTACTGTGGGAGACCAGATAGTGAATGCAGGGTTTTGGGATTAGTAACGCTTTAACCTGGCCATACATGACTGAAGTCTCTCAAGCTGGGTAAAGTGCACAGGGCCATCAGGAATCAATTTTAAAGTTAGATGGGTGGAAAATAATTTCCTGAACAGTGACTGCATTCTATCAAATGTAGGCACTGTTTGCGTTTTCAGGCAACAGTTTGGTGTTGGCAGCGGAGATTTCTCCATCTCAAAGCGGTTTGGCATAGATGGAGAATTCTATGCCTGTATGGTAGCCTTAGAATATTTCAACATAAAGGTTCAACTGGGCTTTAAGCTATAGATTTTACTTTTTTTTTTTTTTCTCTTTTCTGTTCCAGGTTTTCATACTAGAATACGCAGGCCCCCTTGTTATATATTTATTATTCTATTTCCGGTTGCCTTTCTTGTATGAGTTATCTATGACGCTTACATCCAGTCCACACTCTGTAGTACAGTAAGTTCTATGACTACAAAATGGTTCATTGTACAAGTGGTTTTTTTTTTTAGCCTTCTAAAACTTTTTTAATTCCCCTGTAGCTTGGCATGCTGTTGCCATTCGTTCCATTATATTAAAAGATTGATTGAAACCTTATTTGTTCATCGTTTTTCCACTGGGACATTGCCTCTGAAGAGCATGGTTAAGGTAAGGGCATTTTCTAAAACCATTCTAGTAAACCGCAAAAAAAGTTAGAACTGAAGTAGACTATAGCTGGACCCAGTTAAAAGTGGGTGATTTACTAATGATATTTCAGACAAGCAAGTCTGTATTCGCAGCAGAAAATGGAGTGTATTTCTGAGTGACAGGCAGGACACACACCTAACACTGGCCTGAGTAGTACAATTTGGCATTAAATAGTGTTTTGCCCCCTTCGTGTGTTTCTTTTTTCTTTTTTTTTTTTTTTTCTTCATATTTGTCACACCTGAGTTAGATCATCAATTGAGTTTTAATGTTGCACAAAGAACCTGTGTAAATATAAAATGCAGTCTTTTAAATTAAGGGAAAAAAGCTATCCAAACCAGCCTGGCTGTATGTGACTGAATTGCCCTCCCGCTTGCTAAATCATGAATGAGCTGTGGTTAACTACATTTTGTTAAGCTTAAACCACTTCAAGTGTGGTTGACTTTGTCAGCTTTTATTTAAGAGCTCAAAAAGCAACATATGTCACGATCTAAAGAAATTGAACAGATGAGAAACAAAGCAATTGACAGGTATCAGTCTAGAAAGGGTTACAAAGCAATTTCGAAGGCTTTGGGACTCCAGCGAACCATGATGAGAACCATTATCCACAAATGGAGAAAACAGTGGTGAACCTTCCCAGGAGTGGCCAGCTTACCAACACTACTCCAAGAGTAAAATGAAAATCCAGGAGGTCATAAAAGCACTTGCCTCAGTTAAGGTGTGTGGGGTTTTTTTTTTATGGGTATACCACAAAAACAATGGTAACTTCACAAAACAGAGGCAAAACAGAATATCTGTTACGATAACTAAGAACAAATGCAGAGCTCTATATACAGAACCGCCAGTGATAGCGCAAGGATGAGGTGGTAAGTGGACACGTTGTCTACAACATGAAGGATTTGTTGGTTGGGGAACTCTATCTACGGTAGACAGGAGTGCTCCTCTATCACCAAGACCACTGTCAGCTGGAGTGAAGTCTAAGGTGGGGTAGCCTGTCACCATCTGAGCATACTCTTTGTATATTTTATGGAAAGTAAGGGGTTATGAGAAAGGAAAGGTCCCTCTCAGGGAGCAGGGAATGCAAGGAAAGAGCAGGCAGCACAAATCATAGGTGCACTGGTAAGTCTACATGTATTGAAGGAATGTCAGAAGCAGAAAAGGTCCCAATAGAACAAATTGGTTTATGATCCTGATTTTCTTGGTCAGCAGTCAGGTTCTCAATCTGTTCAATATCTACTTTTGAAAGGTATTCTGCTGTGGGAGAAGACTTTACATTGGCTAAGTATACAGGCCCTGGTGGTATTAAAAATGTATAAGGAGGGATATGTGGTGTTTTCTTAACATTGGAGTAAGGTTTAGGACAACAGTAGAAATATCTTAATGAAATGTTTAAGTATAAGTTGAGTACAGGCTCCCAAAAGGCTTTGCATTTGGGGCATTCCCAAAAGATATGCAGAATGGTCCTCTGCCTCGGTCGCAGTAGTAATGCTCTGCCAATGCGTAGGTGCTTGCCCCACCAGACAAACTTAAAATTCCACAGGCTTTCATGAAGTGTGGGGGTTTTTTTTTTTTTTTTTTTTAAAGCTTGCAACAAGAATAAGCCTGGGCATGACGTTCATTTTTGAGGATGATACAGTGGCCAAACCAAGAGGAGGGAATCCCATTTCTTAAGGGCCGTGGTTAACTTGGCCAAAAAAGGTCGGAAGTTTCCGAGTAGTTGTCGGAAAGGGATGCGGTAATTCTGGTACTTGGGTATTGTATTGATCGGGTAGCCCACCGAAAAAAATCCTGAAGGAGAATATCTGGCAATCAGTTCAGGACCTCAAGTGCACTTTGGATAATTGTCCTACTGCATAACCCAACACACAAACATCTGAAGGCCACTTCTTTTGGTCAGTCCAGACTTAAGTCTGATTAAGATGCTGCGGCATGACCTTAAAGCGGAGTTCCACTCACTCTGTATAAGTCAGCAGCTACAAAAACTGTCGCTGACTTTTAAAAAAAAAACAAAAAACAAAAAAAAAACCAGCCACTCGCCTATCCCACGTTGCCCCCACCGCAGCCTGTTTCACTGGCTATCCTGTATTTCAGGTGCTGGTATCTTCAGTGTGGGCACCTGGCTGTGACAGCTTGCAGCTTCAGCCAGGTGCCCACTGCACATGTGCGAGTAGCGCTGCACTTTCTGAATGGCCTGGTCTTCTGGGACCTGTCAAGTGTCCCACAAGACTTCGGGGAGGGTAGGAAGACAACTTCCACAAAACTTCGGGGAGGGTAGGAAGACAACTTCCGTTTCCGATCGCCTAGGCGATCGCAGCAGAAGTGGGAGAGAGTACCTGTCAAATTCGCTCCCCAAAGGTGCCAATCCTTAATGGGGAGCGGTGGACCAATCTTTAAAAGGCAACTTCTGTGTTTGGGTGGAACTCAGCTTTAAACAGTCCATGTTTAAAAATCCTCCAGTGTGACTGATTTGAAACCATTCTGCAAAGGGGCAAAATTCCTCCACAGTGATATTGCAAAGGCAAACACTTGATTGCAGTTTCCCCCAAGGGTGGCAAGACCAGTTATTGGGTTTAGGGGCCCAATTACTTTTTCACATAGGGCTAGGCAAGTTTGGACAGTTTTTTTTTTTTTTTTTTCCATGAAATTTTAAAAACTGCATTTTGTATGTATTTGCATTATCTTTGTGTAATATTAAAATGTTTGTTTGATCTGAATCATTTGAGCATGACAAATATGCAACAAAATAAAAAATCCTGAACAGGGCAAATACTGTATTTCACATCACTATACATTATCCTGTATATGATATGCTGAATTTGAATCCCTTGGTCCAAAGCAGTGGAAGGTGCAGTATCTGATCGGGTAGAGGTTGACAGAAGTGCATTTTGGCAGCATATCCAGTGTGTTTTCCAGGGATAATGAGTGTCCAAATGGAACACACAGCAATAAAAAGCTGGCACTGGTTTTCACCTTTCTTTACTCTACAAAAAATTGCTCAATTTTTATCTGTGGATAGCAGTTACAACCCAGAAGGGGTTCTGACCCTTCTGCACTCTATCCAACATGAGACATTTGATTTAAGGTGCATACAAACATTCACAGGTAGATTTATTAAAACTGCTGCACTCAGAATCTGGCACAACTATGCATGGTAGCCAATCTGCTTCCAACTTCAGCTTGTTCAAATAAGCTTTGACAATAAAACCTGAATGCTGATTGCTTTCTATGCAGAGTTGCACCAGATTTACTCTAGTTTTAGTAAATGAACCCGTCAGCTGGGTGTACATAGATCTGTTTAAAGCATACGTGTGTGTATCTATGGAGAGGGAAGGGGAGTGCTCTAGAATTGGCCCTGGTGTGTCTCAGGAAAACAGCAGTAAATGCGTGAAGCGAATCCATAACGCCCAGTTTAATGCCCCCTAGAAAGATTAAGTAGGGTACAGACTGACAACTCATGGGGCCCTTGGGCAATAGGGGATCATGGGGCCCCTGTGTCCTTGCCCACACAAACCACACCCAAAAAAGCCTATGAAAGGTACCAGGGGCATCTCATGGGGCCCCTTACTGACCCCAGGCCCTCAGGCAGTGCCCAAGTTTCTGCATGGATAGTCCGCCCCTAGTAGGGTACAAATTTTTAGATCTACATATGACCATGTGCTGGGTAGTGTTTTTTAAAGTGGTTGTAAACCCTTTCATATGCCCAGCGAAGTGACTAGCCTCGGCTGATGCACAAATCCTTTCATAAGGTGTAGCTGTTTATTTGTAGCCATTTCTGAGGGCGTTCCCTATACCAACTTTGTACGCAACTCCTTCAGGTTGCCTTATTGCATTGAATTGTACAGAAAATGACAGTGCTGCAGTTTGAAATGGAAAGGTCCCTTTTTAATACGGCGTGTGTTGCAATTGTATATGCTATATTTTCTTATTTGCTTCCCATGAAAGTGGAGTCATCCTATAAGCTTCACATGTACATGTTTCAGCACAAACCAAATCTGCTGAAACAGGAATGTGAAGATTTACTCTACTATAGACTGTGCGTACAGTTCAACAAATGACACTATCAAACTACATGATCAGTGCATCATTTTGGAAAATGAAGATAAAAAGGATTCAGTCAAAGCAGGGGGACGGGGAGCTGCAGTTACGTACTGTACCTGTACAAGAGCTCTGAGTGCTGATTGGAGAGAAGGGATACACCCTGCCACACAGGAACAGAGCTGAGGCTGTCATTCAGATCCTTCCAGTCACTTTTTTCATCCCTCCATCAGGATAACTGGTCAGTGACTTGTGCTGATAGCCGAGGAAGGAGGCAGCAGACACAAATGACACTTGGTGCTTTGGAGAGAGGCAAGAGAAAACTATAGAAGGATATGCTTTGTTCAGATTTAATGTCTGAGGTTTGCAATCACTTTAATGGGAAGGGGCCAGGGGAGGTGTCGGCCTGATCACAAACACAATTTTAGAAGCTTTTAGGTCAACCTTTGAAATGACATTCAAACTGTTTTACAGTACTGCATTTACTACTGGGGATTTGCTGCATGGCTGGCATACTACATAAACCACCCTCTTTATACTCCACCACGTAAGTTAATTTTTTGATTTTTATGAATTGCTTTAAACATAATTTGTGAAATTCTTCAATTATATTGTGTTCCATGTTTCACAGCATATACAAAAAGGCAGATGAGTTTGGCCATATTCCTTTTTCTGGTGAGTATATGTACTGAAATGTTTTTTGTGTTTTTTTTTTTTTCTTTGCGGCACGTGTAGGCAGCCACATGGCTGCTGTGAGGGCTCTGTAGCACAGGGGTCCCTATTCAGTTGGAGGGCGTAGACCAAATGCCTCATTTCTAGCCATTTTTTTTTCTAAAACTGGCCAGAATAGGTTTCAGTTAGAAATTCTAAATGCTTTTTCCAACATCTTTGCTAGGACTAAAATATCTCAACAATAATGAAGTTACTAATGCAGGTAGTACCTGTAATTTATCTTCAGGCTCTGTACATGCTTCTGCGCAGATCCGTTTTTATCAGAGGGACCAGAAGTGAGGGTTTTTTAGTTTGTAAGTTATGTTAATATTCATCACCTATTGCAGTCTTCAGCTGCTCTAATTTTCCAATGTCTGGTGCTACACTTTTTAAGGCATTTGCACACTTTAATCATGCATTGTGTTGCATATTAACATTTTGGGTTAAAGTAGGTGGGATGCTTTGTAGTGCCCTTCAGTTTCAAGGGCAACACTCTCACTGAAGTGCACCACAACACAGAATGAATGGGCTGCCTGTACACCACAACTCAGACAAAGTGGGACTTTTTTTTTTTTTCTAAAGCAATGCATTATAATGGTGTTGTGCTGCACTCCAATGTGAGTATGTTGACCTACTGTTTTAATGCATTGGGATCTAATTGAAAATGAATGGCACTTGATATGACAGTATGTGATTGGCCCTCAAACTGTATGACCGTTAAAATGCAGAACAGCTCTGCAGTACTTGTACATTTTCCCATGCTTTATTCCTTTAATGGATAAGTTCACCTTTGCATTTTTAATTTGTCTACAAGAGCCTGGAAAGTATTGCACCAGCGTTCAGTAGATCACACTGGTGCCAGGCAGGTCTCCTGCAGACCTGTCAGAATAGCTGCTTGCCATACTGGATGTACGAGCAAGCAGATATTCTGACAGGAAACTTCAATGAACTACCACTGTGCTCCACAGCTGCGAAGGCTGGCAGGGCTTGCAGTTCATTCATGGAAGTCTGTGAATGAATGATGTGGCTGTGTGGGCGGAGCCCTACATGACCACACACTTTTTTAATTTGACATGGTACAGGGAAAAGTCTCCCCGTATGATCTGTAGGGGGTGGGGGGCAGCAGCAAGCTGTGGCTTTGGGAACATATTAATGTTCCACCCTAAAAAAAACGGGTGGAACATGTTCCTAAAGGTGAACTTCTCAAGCCCAAGTAAAAAAAAAAAAAAAAAACGTGCAGGGGACATTAATTACAATTTCAAATATGTCCCTTGTGCTGCTGGCTACTGCAGTCCTTGAAATCTTCCATCGAGTCACCCTTTGCTGTAATCGTGCAATGCGGTGAGTTGATGGGTTTGAGGGAGCTATGACAGGTGCTAATCAAAAGTGCCTGACTATGCCCCCCCCCCCTTTCGGCCCCTCCATTAATGAGAGCTTTTTTCTTCTTTTTTTTTTTTTTTTTTTTAATTGGAGCTCTTGGGTTCTCTCTGGCTCATACAGTGTGAAAGAGTGGTTTGTGCAGCTCAAGCTGTCTGTTGCTGAAAACAGGCTGTATGAACACAGCCGCAGGTCCTAATTTGTGTGGGTGAGTGGCCTCCAAACCCTGATAGTGTATTTGGGGCCATACACCTGCATCCACATGCCTGTCAAATTAGGACCCCCAGCTGTGTTTGTACAGCTCCTGCATCCCCATAGAGTAAGGCTCAATGTACACAATCCTACCCTGACCACCGCACCATGATTTTGCGCTTTTTGCGATTACCCATAATTGGCAGTCAAAACGTTCACTCGCTCAGAGGGAGGTTTAACCTCACCTAAATGCAGCAGCTCCTAAACTCTGCTAAAAGCCTGTGTACATGGACACATAGGCTTTTATGGCATTGAGTTTAGGAGCTTTGCCAAAAGCTCCTAAACTCGTGTTTTAGCAGCTGCTCCTGTACATGAAGCCTAACATAGGCTGCCTGCACACAGCAATAGCCACATTTTATAAAAAATCACTGATTCTCACTGTACAGGCCACAGCACCTATGTGAATGAGCCCCAAGACCTCACACAACTATATTGACTCTGCACCATTTTCTTTTTAGATTCAGCAGTAATGTTGTACATTTATGCTATGTATGTGTCCGCTAATAATTTTAGTGTATTTTTAAAGAAAATATATTGTTTTGACTTTTTTTGGAGGAGGGGCCCTGTCGGGTAGGCTGTATAGGGCCTGGTGATTTCTAACAGCAGCCCTGTACAGCATTACCTCTGCTGCACTGAAAGCTCCATCACTGTTGTCATTGCTGGTTGATTTCTCCTTTGCTAGACTTGAGAATTCTACCTATCCCCACCCCTCAGTTGTGCACAATGATTTCTTGTCCGCATAACCATGCTGCTGCAGCCTTGAATCCCAACACACTGTGTAGAGAAATTTGGGGGGTTTACTTTCTTGAGGCATGTATCAATAGGACATCTACAGCACCCTGCGGATTCCTCCTTCTAGCTGTTGTCCCTCCAAAGTCTTTAAAAGTCTGATCATGCCATAGGAAGTAATAAAATCTGTTTTTCTTCTACAGGAAAAGGGTGATAGAAAATGCGGAGACATGATCTAGATGGATTGAGGGATGTATGGGGGTAAATTTGGGTCATTCCCACACATTTTAAGCAGATAAGCATGTTAAACATTCCGTGACTTCTATGTTATGAAATGCTGGTGATATAAAGTAGTGACTTTTATCTAAATGGATATCCACATATGTATGAAAGGGATTTATAGTCCTCATTATAAAACATTTTTTGTGTAACTTCTTTGTGCTGTTTGTGTGCCAAAAATATTCAATGACAGAAGCATACAGAAGGCATTCCCATATGAGTTTTTTTAGTTCTGAAATTGGAAGCTGATAATTCTGTTGGTGTGAAGTGTTGCCATGATACTATAACTCCTGGTATTCTTCACGCATGCATATTCTATCAAATTAGATGAACTGAGCTTTTTCTGAACTGTTAATTTGATCTTTTTACAGATGTGTGAAACTGGTAACTTCTCCATCCATGTAGCACTGAGCAATCTAAAAGCAGATGGTAGGTATTTTTTTTTTTTTTTTCTTTAAGGAAATACAGGCTTGCTGAAAATACAGGACAAGACTTGTTCAGCTTCATTTTCATAAAGATTTAAGGGATAACATACAATATAGCCATGGTAGTTATATCTCCATTTGGTATACTGATTTCTTCTATAAAAACACAAGTGGAAACACCAGCATAGTGCTCATGGCTGCCAGGGTCAATATTGCCAGCTTTAGGTAAGCAATAGATTAGAAGTTTCCTTCCTTTACCATGAGTGGAAGGAAAGAAAATTGCTTGATTTTCCCATCAACACTGGCTCCCTCTGCAAGGCTGAGAGCGCTTGAAACTTCTGATGGGATGGACTAGAAACATTGTATGAACTTTCATGAAGTCCGCGGGAAATTTTGGGGAAGTGAATTTCTTTATACTGTATTTGCCTTTGATGCACTGGCTACACATTGATAGATTCCTTTTAACGTTGTGCAAAAATCAAAGTTGACTTGTTTTTAAGATTATAACGTCATATTATTTTACTGCTTGAGAAGGAAGTTAGATTGTTACTAATGGTAAAGACCTTTTATGTACAGCAGATCTAGTTGCATATACTTATAATGGTCTAACAATTCCAGAGGTATCGGGAGAATATGATGGGGCCAATTAACTAATTCACATTTTTTGTAAGAAAAAAAAAATCAAAGGAGCCTAGTTAAGATGAATATTATAATATTGGTCTGGTGTCACTTGGGTTTGCAAATGACCAAATTTGTCTGAGCACATTTGATTTGTGATATGCCCTGGTTGAGCAATGACAGAGGAAGAATTGATGAACCAGCCAAGATCAAAGACTGGACTGATGCCAGGGAAATCTACACAGAATGAAGTAGCTTGCTTAGTGTGATCTTATGCCCTCTTTACATTTTTTAAGACTATTTACAGTAAACTGGATATCTTTTGGCTTTCTGGAACCCTCCATAAAGCTGCCAGATGGAACTCCTGTCCTGTAGTTTTGGGGGTTTTTTGGATAGAGAAATAGTGGTTCCCTATGGACAGTGACATATTTGATCGTACATTAGCAAATTCCAGAAGAAGCCAATAACCCCCCTCCTTGCTCCCAAGCTAGACACCGTGTCTGAGGTAACTTACATGGGGTTCCTTTTTTGAATCCTGCTCCTCAATGCCCTGGGATAAGGCAGGGAGTGCTTTCAGGCAAAGTCCACCTTAAGGAGATCATCCAACTTGGAGATCAGCCAAACACTGTGGACATTGAGTGAATAAGCAGGATTCCAGCTAACCTTCTGGCACCATGTCAATCCACACCTTGACCTTGCATTTAGGAGGGACATGCTAAACCTATGCTCACTCCACCTGTCCAGCGTACCTCTATTAACTCACTCCCAGTAACAGGATTTGGTCCTGCCATGCACCTAGCACGGATATCATGCATGCACTTAGCCACTAGGTAAAGAAGTGTAAGAACTGAACCAAGGGCTTCCAGATTGCTGATCTCACATTGCAATGAGAGATGGACTGCTGGGGGGGGGGGGGGGGGGGGGGGGAGAGCCAAAGAAGCGACTAATCTAGCACAGGTACCACACTTCTTGACAAGCTAGCCTCTAATCACTCTTGACGAACCACTTCCTTCTCTTCTGAACAATGTTGACTCTTTAAGAGACTGAATTCATACCTCCAATGCACTGTAACTGACCAAAGCTTCAATTGTCTGTGTACTGTGCTGGTTACATTCATGCACTCCTTTTTAGAATGACTTCAGACCAGGCAGAATAATGGTTCAAAAGGCTTTACTGATAAAACTCAGCATAACCATTTAACAGGCATAAGGGTCTTTTTCCCACCTAATCCTTACTGTGGCTACCCAAACATACCTGCTCAGGTAGAGTCCATAAATGGCAAGTCCAGAATGACAGGAGTCAATGACAACTGTCCCAAGGGTTCAGTGTTCCTCAGTGGACTGCAGGTTCCAGCAGACCCTTGTACATGGTAACGGTATGCAGTTCCCCAACAAAGTTTGGTGGAAGACTACATGGAGACTCACTGATGGCTCTTCCCCCCCCCCCCCCCCCCCCCCTCTCTCCATGTTCCGAAACCGCCCCATTTAGAATAACACGGGACCTGTGGGTTGGACCCAGAAAAGCCTGCAAACTTAGACCAGGGAAGGTGGTAAAAACATTAAACCCTAGGGCAGCCATAAATAACTTGCTATATGCAACCTGCCTACAAGTCTACCAACTACTTTATGCTGCATTGGGGTGTAGACTTCACTGAAGTTGGGGTCTGGCAGGGATGGACTGTTGTATGTTGATTTGAAGGTGTATGTTGATTTGAAGGTGTAACAATTTCCCTTACCTTTTTTTATAAAGTGTAAATATAAAAAACGGCCTTGCTTTAGGTTAGTGACTTTCATCCACGCCAAGACCAGATCAAATGAATATAGAATTGCTTCATCTAGTCTGAAATCTGTAGTGCCCATGAGTTGTCCCTGTGGGAAAGACTGTGTAGGGCTTGTTTGGGAGTAGTAGTAGCAGATCATACAATGGTCAATAACTTTGTCCACTCGCTCAATATTGAGTAGACCTTTTGCCTCTTAAACAGCCCTGTCCTGTGAGGGCAAGGATGCCACTGCACCTCTTTGGTAACTTACATCATGCTGTCAGTAGCAGGGTGGGGTACAGATTGCAGGGTGGGGTATCCATGGATCAGACTTTTTAAAGCACATTTGCTTTCGCCTCTGAATTCTCCAGATCTCAATCCAACAGAGCAACACCTCAAACCTATTGGGGGAGATTTACTAAAACTGATGCATTCTGAATCTGGTGCAGCTGTGCATGGCAGCCAATCGGCTTCTAACTTTTCAGCTTTGACAACTAAAACCTAGAAGCTGACTGGTTTCTATGCAGAGCTTGACCAGATTTGCACTTTTTTAGTAAATTTCACCTCCCCATTGTATTCCTGGAACACTTTGAGCCATTGTTGCAGTGTGAAGGTGCATTGAATGCACATGGATGCTGGGAAGCAGAACTTTGCCCAAAACATCACACTGCTTTCGCTGGTTTGCCTTCTTCCTATACTTCATCCTGGTGGCATCATTTTTCAGGTAACCCAGCCATCCATATGATGTAAAAGAAAATGTGATTCAGCAGACCAGGCCACCTTCCATTGCTCTGTGATCAAGTTCTGATGCTCATGCTCTCCATTTTAGGAGCTTTTGACTAGCTTCAAACCAGTTAAGGTGCCTATGTCAACCTGTGTTCACACAGCCCCATACATCACAAACTGCAATTCCTATTTTATTATTTCAACACATTCAACTTTAGGGACATGTTTACTTGCTGCCTAATATATCCCACCAACTTTTAGATATCATTGTAACAAGATAATCCAATGTTCGTTTAACCTCCTCAGTGGTCATAGTACTGGCTGGTGTATAAGAATAAAACTTATGAGGTCATCTGTCAGTGACTGCTTTTTTACTTTTAAGGTTCAAGATCAAGAAGGTATCCCATCCCAACACGAAATCCATTTACATGGTTATTTTTCTTTGTGACATGTCCCAACTACACCTATGAGGTAAGTCTCACCAGCTCTTTATAATAAGTACATGAAAATTTTGAAAGTGATTGTAAAAGCTAAAGAAAAGTTAATATGTACTTGCTCTGTACAATTTACCCCTTTTTGGGTCCCTGCCTTTGCTCCTGGCTCCTCCTTCATGGTGTGCAGCTGTAGGTAGCCACTTTCTAATGTGGCACACCTTGCGGGCTCGATCCTGCTCCACACCGCCCATGTCTAGACAGTATGACTCTGCCCCGTCCCCTCCCACAGACTGACAGCAGTGGCAGCAAATGTTTTTGAGCCAGCAAGGAGAGAAACGGCTCTTCTGCTCTTGGGTACAGAGCTGGATTAAGATCTGGCTCAGGTAAGTATTTAATGGGGGCTGGAGCAAAAGAGAATATATGAATGTAATGCGTTTTACTAAATATACCCACAACATAAGTGCAAGAATAAGCCAAAGCAAACAGAGGATATCCTCTCCAATATACAAGTTTAAGTGTTGTGCTAATATACATAAAAAAACCAAAAATGACATAATGTAAGCACCTTAGTCTTCCATAATCATCAATGTCGCCCAACACCACCGTGGATACAAGATGGATGGTTACCAGAAATACTGACCCCCTTATTCAGAGAGGTTAGCATGCACGCACTTTAGTTAATAAAGCAGAGTGGAAATTGTGTGCATCAAACCAGACCACAATAACTCAAATAACAATAACCAAATATCTGCTCCTCAGATTACCTCGGACACAGGATGTGCATATATACTCATAGGAAAAAAATATGCCTCTTAGTTTAGAAAGTTAAAACCACCATTTTATTGCAAAAGAATAGCACTGGTGTTTAAATACAGTCACGAAATGGCATGGAAAGCTGTACTTCTGGGAAACTTGTACGTGAGGGTGTCACAGGGAAGGTTCCACCCAACTCTGCATGACTTTTGAATCAGAACGGAATGTCTGAAACTTGTTCTGTGGAAGGAACAAAGTAGATGTTTCAGCCTTATCTGATGCCAGCTTCAAGTGCAAATCCTTCCAGCAGCTTTATGAGCTGCAGGTAGTTATCCAGTTTCCTATTTCTTGGGCGTTCTAGTGTGTGTTCACCCCTCAGCTGGACTGAGAATCAGATTTTTGTACTTGCCATTCAATCCTCTTTTTGGGAGTTTGAGGGACACAGACCACACCCTTCTGTTTATATACCTACTCTCGCATACTGCCTTCTTTAGAAATTGATAATTGAAGGACACTTTAGGGAGATGGTAGCTTATGGTGTGCTGTGGCAAAAAAGTGGGTATGGCTAATTATGGTGGCCAGGGGCATTGTTTGGATTGTAAAAACTGAGGCACTTTTGAGCATCCCACAGAGAATAGTAATACAGCATGTACAGTGGTGAACAGTGGATGTGACCCAACTGTTAAAATTAAGGTCATAAGGGCATGGTAAAACCCCAGATTTCCATGTACCAAAAAAGCTTTCATTCCTGTGCCACATTTGAGTCCTGTACAAACCTCAGCACAATCCTAAAATTGAAACTCTTGCATTACATATGATTTCGTGCACACTGAAAACGGAGAGTTAACACTTTTCTGCGCCTACCTTTTAAAGAAGATCATTAAAATAGGGACGGTTTACCAACCAGTAGCTCTTAAAACATTTGAAACTTTGAGATGTAGAATGTGTATATATAGTGCAGAAGCCTTTAAGGCAGAGTTCTGCAGTCAGTGCTGGGTTTAGTAATTGCATACCCCAAACCCCTGCACTACACATTATGTAGAGGTCAAGGCTCAGGAGTATGTAATGCACAGTGAGCTGCAGTCAATCCTGGGTTTAGGAGTGTATAACACACAGAGCAGGGGTCAAAAGTACAAAACGAGTGCTGGAGTCAGGAGTATGCAATGCAGTCTGGGGTCAGGAGTGTGTAAATTAAAAAGCAGGGAAAAAAAAAAAAAGAGTATTGCTTTTTTTTTTTTTTTTTTTAAGGCCTGGAGTGGTAATTTTTGCTGAAAGGACACTTGGACCCCTGATGTCTGTCCTGCCCTTCAAAGCCCCTAATAAAATACAGATTGTTTAATCAGCTGCTTTTCTAGCTACAATAGCCAGGAAATGACTGCTCTTAAATCAAAAATGACAAAATACTTACCGCTTCTGGGATCATTCAGCCAATATCAGGGAATGGGAGAGTCTGAGAACCACTGCAGGGGTTGTCTTCCCAGTAGTGTGAATTTGCAAACTCCTGGATCAAATTTAACGGACAGCCAATCTGACTGGAGAAAGATACCAGGATCATGACTGCAACCATGATCTTGGTACAACAATTTGCTGTCCAGTGTACGTAATATAAATGTTCTGCACAGCAAGTGATAAATGTTTATTTCATAAATGTTAATCTTTACCCCCCCCCCCCAACCTTTTGTACAATAACAAGTCTAAGGCTGGAAGCCTGTCTCAGGAATGGTATATCTACCAATGCCAAACCCCTGAATAAAAGGGGATATGCATCCAATGCTGGTACGCTCTAAGGAATAACCCCACAAATATAGCACCTCAAAGCCTTTATAAGCGGTATAAATTTAGTACATAACAATGCAAGACCTATCAGTCAAACAATGCACATACCCATTCCTATCACAATCCATCACTAACCTTTTTGCCTCTCCTCTTGCCTAAGCCCTAACCTTGAAACCTAAACCAATCACTGGACCTAACAATGAACATTGTATATTTCTCATGTTGAATCCGCAGGCTTTTTTTGACAGTTCTACATGGAAGATGGCAGCACTGAACTGTCATGGTCAAGTATTACTGACTGGCTAGAATGGTGTAAGGTTGGGTTGTAATAGTTTGTTCAAATATCTAACTTGACTAGGTATTTTCAAGAAATGCCATGCACACAAATATTTTATTGTAACAATATTCATGTACTTTTTTTTTTAGGTGGGAAGCTGGATTAGTTTTCACAGTGATAACCCACTGTGTCCCAGGTAGGAATTCTCATGTTGGGTCTTGTATGTGCAAGTCATTAAAGTGTATGTGAACCCTTACCTTGTAAAGTGACCCATTCTGTTTTAAATGGAAATGTAAGGCAGTGTGTGTGTAATTTAAATTTATAATCTTCACCTTTTTTTATTAAGTGGTCACATGACCATGGTGATGTGTCTGCAAAAGGCAGAGCATTACACTGATATTCCCAGTGATCAGCTGTTCAGGAGGCTCTGTCAGCACAAGTCTGACCATATGTAGACAGGCAGACTGTATTCCCAATTAGAATTCAAACAGGAAAGCTGATCATGCTGGGATGGATGTGCTCTCATGCCTAGCATGGTCAATTTGAAACTGGTAGGCAGGGGTGGACTGACAACCCATGGGGCCACCGGGCAATATGGGATCATGGGGCCCCTGTGTCCTTGCCCACACTCAAAGCACACCCAAAAAAAACCTATAACAAAGGGCATTTCATGGGGCCCCCTACTGACCCCGGGCCCTTGGGCAGTGGCCCCGAGTGCTCGAATGGTCAGTCCGCCCCTGCTGGTAGGATTACTAGGCATTTCACGCAAAGCCGGCAATGCGAAGTGAACAGGATACTTTTTCATAAGTGCATAGTAGCAGACACCTCATAAAAAAAATGTTGGGATAACATACTTTTAAGTACATCTAAACCCAGAAAAATGTAGTATATGGCAATTTAACATCCTTTCGATGTGATTGTTGCTTTCAATTCAATTTCTTCTTCTTTTTTTTTTTTTTTTCTTTTTTAGCAATTACATTTTCAGCTAGTACAGAAAATAGCTGAACTTGCTAGAATTGCAGTTCCCTTATTTGCTGGGAGCTGAAAAGAGCACCAGTGATTATCTTCCTTATGAAAGCTACAAATTCCATAAACTAACATCTCAGCCTTTGTTCCCCTCCATTACATGATAGTCTAGCCTGTGTGACCAGCATGGTTGCATTTATAGTTGGTGTAGCCAATAAAGTAGACCTTATTTGCAGGATTAGTGAAAACATTGCAGGCAGTTCATCTAAGGACTGTAAACTGCAATATACATTATGTTAGATTTAAAAGCTTATCCATCTGCATAAACCATGTATGAGTTTTTTTTTTTTTTTTTTTTTTCCCCCTCGATATTAAGAGACTGACAGATCGTTTCATTTAAAGTTTACCTTTAGTAAGATGTTACACCTGTACTCCGGGTCTAACATCTTACTAAAGAGCACCTGCCCACACCCTCACCGCATGACATGTGGGGGGATCTGCTGTGCACCTGAAATCTCAATTTAAAAACTGTGTGGCTGTGCAGGAACCACCCTCACAGCCATGTCCTTCATTCACAGCGATCTGGTGGTCCCATCTTACACTGCAGCAGGTTGCTTGTAGATCTAAATGAACTGTGAGGTTTCTGAGTGATTCTTCCTGCCCTTCAGTAATAGAGCAAACTCTCTGCCTGTATGGAAGTTATGGGAAAACAGCTATAAAGTTCTGCAGGAGCTAGAAAACTGCATCTGTGATCTGATTTGTGAATGCAATGCTCTGCAGACTCCTTGCACGTGCAAGCATCTGGTCTTGCCTAGGGTGCAAAATAGTCTAGCATGGTTTCTACATGGAACATTGAGGAGGCTACGCTTAGATCTTCACACAGAAGTCATTTCTCTACCCAGCTGCATCTACAGCCCCTGTGACAATATTACTTTCTGAATTGAAAGTCCTCGAATGGAGAGCTCTCTCCTGGGAAGGATTTGATCCACAGGGGAAGGAGACTCCACACCAGGGTGATTCCCACCCACTCCTCCCCTCCCAATCTCCCTGAGTGTGCACAGCAGAAGAGATTTTCCGGCAGTGTGCATGTGCCCCTTTAGGCAGAAGTGTGAAATTGCGTGTAATTTTGCACAGGAGGGATGCCTGCCTTGTAACAGTAAAACATCTATAGACCAGGTGGCTAAAGTTAGAATCCTCCTCGCCTACTAGATCAAAGGCTACCTGTATGGGATCCCTACTCAGAACCAAGAAATCTACTACTGGGTCCTTTCCAGTTAGCATCCTGTGCTAGAGGGCACTGTATGAGGACTGGCAAGATTAGAGAAAGTGTGTACAGTTCCTGAAAGGTTTTCAACAGCAGTACCCAAGGTAGGAGACAGTATTACAGAAGTGCCAGTGATGGGTTTGGGCATTTCTGGCCTCCTTGCAGTTCTGACTAAGGATGTTGGTCTGCAAAGACCCTGACAAAAGATTTAAGACCATCGAGCTTGACTGGTGGTGTCCATGGTAGCTTGCCAAGCAATGGCAGTCGGGGCTAAACACGTCACACAGCCCAGTTCTGATCCTAATGGATCGCTACTCCAAAAATGGAGCTTCTCTCAGTAGACTTGTGCTACTGCATAGACAGTTTGGCAGACTCTATAAGCTGTTTCTGTAGCCAGAAAATACTGTACATGTGAACGGACTTGAGAGCCAGGCAAGAATTTTGGAAAGTAGTCATTAAACGGAATTCTTTCCAGATGGTTTAGTCATTCCACATGAAACACCTTTGTCAAAGCCAGTTTTGGAAGGATTACCTTTGTCCCTCTTACCTCTGCTTTCAAAGTAAAGTCCTCCAGGATTTATTGTAAGCCCTGGATGTCCAAGCCAATCAAATCTGCTACAAAGTCCTCCCTTGAAGGGGTGCCCCTACTATTACAAGGCCTTTGCCCATCTGGACTTAAGGACACTTAACACCTCTGGGTCTGGGACATGGTGTCCTAGGATACAGGCTAGTATTTTGCTCTTCGACTCCTCCCCGCGTTATGCTCACAAACCATCACACCTCTCCAATGAGTTTGTGGACCCTCCAGACTGTCTTTCAGTTATTTTTGCTTTGTTTGCTCTTTGTAAATGATTCTCAGTTCCCACTGAGTTTTTTTTTTTTTTGCCCCACCCTAGACTTAAAGTCTCAATACCTTCCTGTGAGTTCAAAAGTTCAGCTGGGTCTTTAATTGCATTGCTGCAGCCACCAGGAGTTTGGTGTGTAATATACCCTGCTGTCAGGGTCAAGTTGGGAATGGGATTCCCTTACTTGGGCCTGTTGGCAATGTTTGCTGTATGCCCATCCCTCAGTTGCTTGCGGATGTCCTGTCATCTAATGGAAGCATGTTCCTTGTACTGCATAAAGTAAAAAAAAAATCCTACACTCAAATTTGGAAATCCACTTTTCTTTACAATTAAAAAATTTGGAGGGGTTATATGGGTTGTCCTAACAACATTGCTGCCATCTTCAGGTTGAAGACACTGGCAAACAAAATTGTTAGGGCGGTCAATATAACTCCTCCTCCTATTCCAAGAAAGAGGAACATGCCAGGACAGAGGGGAGGGTGGCCTGTACTCAAAGAAAAGCCTGCCCAATACATAGCAATAAAAAGTGGATAGACCAGGCACTGTCCAAAACTAAAGTTTTGGTTTTCACATGGCTGGAAGGCAATTTTGTAGCACTTGAACAGATTAACTTTGGTTTAAAATTAATTTTATACTTGTTTTCTTGTCATATGGGTCAGGGTCCAGAAATGTACTATTAATTTTTTTTTTATTTTTTTTTTAAACAGTTGGAGTATTTACACTGATTGGTTTTATTCAGATGATCATCTGGGCAAAGGAAAAGCATAACAGATACATCAGGGAGCTCAAAGATTATCCAAGACTACGGAGGGCAATTATCCCCTTGTTGCTGTGAAGATAAAATTACAAAAAATATTTATATTATATTTCTTTTAGTATTTGATACAGAGCTATATCTGAAAACTAGAAATGTATTCAGCAAAATGTCACATTTTTAGGACATATTTTGTACGGCCCTTTCTGCATATTTAACAAAGCGTACCTCTTTATTGTTTACACACTTGATTTTTCAAGGGGCCTTTCACTTTCACCCAGATGTGGAACCCTCTTTTTTTTTTAACTTCATGTGTAATAACAGATATGTTCCCCCTCTCTACACGTCCTTCCGTAGGATACAGGTTTGGCTGTGAATTAGATTGTCATCTTAGACTGTTTGACAGCCTGCTATAGCCTGATGTACAGGTTGTGTTGGTGCAATTTCTTTTAGATTAATGACCTGTAGTATTTAATGGCTGTCCAAATCATCTAGTAAATCAACCCCCAATATGAATTTTTGTGATCATGTTCTAAAGGCAAGGTCTGTTCACTTTGCAAGTGCAATTGCTCTGTACAAGGGAGATTTCCCCAGAGCTTAGTGGATGAAGTGAAGCACTGTTTCTTTCGCATGCTTGGATGTTGGAAGTCAAATACAAAAAAAGAAAACACTATTTTCCTTGCACATGATTGGATATTATTTGCAAAGGGAATTTTGCTACATGAACTAAGCTCTGGGGAAAATTCCCTTGCAGAGGACAATTTCACTTGAAAGTGGTCTGTGTTTCATAAATCAAACCCCATTGAGTTTTTGGCTTTTCTTAAAAAGCTTCTCTTGGATACTATTTGAATTGTATAGTTATCAGGAAACCAGCATAGTTACAAATATGACAAATTGGTGGGTGTTGTCTATAGCCAAATAGGCTTTCTAGGGTGCATATGTTATGAGGGTGGTCAGGGAAGAGAATGCACAAAATCCCATTCTACACATCTGCTTTAAGCAAAGTCTCTTCACTTGGCCCGATACATTGTACAATGGTGCTCACTATAGTTCTGAGAATTGGAGGGAGTTGCAAGCTAGGTTACAGAAGAGCACAGACACATCTGGCCCTGTATTTACCATGCCCATAGAGGTTTTATGTTAAGTTGGGTTTGTTTTCACACATTGCCTAGAAATGACATCTACACACTGTTTGTTTGTTTTTAAAGTGGTAGTAAACCACAACCTCTAAAAACAAAAGACGTGCTAGAACATTATGTGAAACTTGCCTTACAACAAAGCCCTCCAACAGCTTGCTGTAACCTCTGAAAAGGCTTCCATCTTTACCCAGTCCTCCCGGGTTGGCAAGCTTGGCTCAGCTCTGAAGGAATGGCACAGACATGCTGTTCCTTCAGAGCACATGCGCTGCTGCTCTACAAAGGTAAATCTCCTAAACTGCATGTGTAGGAGATATTAACATTAATTACAGGTAAGCCGCCTTATAGGCTACCTGTAGGTAAAGTTACAAAAACTGACTACCGCTTTAAAGTGAAACCTTACCTTCCTCCAAAGCATGAAAACAGAGGCATCAACTAATGCACATATTTTTCAGTACATGCAGTCTAAGCCAACTAAACCGTTTCTGTGAGTGGTAACTATTTTTTAGTTGGTGGCAAAGGGTTAATGGAACCAAAATGACTTCAATTATCTCCTCTCAAATGTTCTTTAGAAGATGTCCATCTCCTTGCCTCCCTGATAAAGCAAAATGGTTCTAGCTTGCATTTGCCTTCAAAGCGGTGTCACCAGGCCCCTGAGCCAGGATACCTTTTTTGTGTTAAGCGCTTTTTTTTCCCGTGGTTGAATATTTACCACCCAAAAATTTCTGCATTTTGGATAAAAATTGGATAGACTTACCATTTTTAAGGACTTATTGTAGGACTTGCTGTATATTGCATTTGGTGTAATTATTGCTTACATGTACTTTCCGAAGACTCTAATAAAGCCAGTATGGTTTGAAAAATTCATTGCAACATTGAGCAACACATTTTAATTTTTGTAGTCACAAAAAATTAAAAAAATAAGATTTTAAATAATTGGACATGTGCATATTGTGGAGCAGTGTCCCTTACAGACTAACAGCTGTCATTTTTGTGCACATGATGTATTGTATTGAATCAAGTGGAAAGAACAGTGCTTCACACTCTGAGGTGCCTAGCACAGTAGTGCACAGACCCAGTCAATAGGTGCAAAAAGCTTTTAACAGGGGATTGCTTTATGAATCATTTTAAAAGTTACAGGCTGTCCCTAGCTTTAATATTTTCACCTAAGAACATCCATGCCAATGATTCATCCAAAGTTAGAATACCCCAGTTATAGTATTCTCTACCTAGAACTGGCAACCAGTGAAATACATACAGTATATAGGAACTGTCTAACCTGCCAAAGCTTTTGGACTTGTCCATACTGTCCTCAGTTACACAGCTATGAGACTGCTCCTTCCTTCTCAGTCTGCAGCAATCTGGTCTCCAGGTTGGCTAACTGAGGCAATGGCTCAATGGTGTGGATCTGCGCCTTCACTGTCCAATCCGCCAATCCAGTGGCAGGCAGGGATCATGTTCTGGACTAAGCTGTGCCACTGATGAAGGCAAGGTTGTGAGCCTGGCTAGGCTGTCTGGACCACAAGACTGGCTGATCAGAATTTGAATTCTTTTGGCAGGTAAAACATTCCCATACATTTATTGCTCTGTGTTTTTTAACTGCTTGTCTGGTCTTCATCCTACCTGCATGATAAAGCTGAAGAAACTTTGTATGTAGTATCGAAGCAGATTTTTTTATTAAAAATGAATCAATTTTTCTATATTTTGAGCTACATACTTTAAAGTTAATCTATTCTGATATCTATGTAGTTCATTAATCTTCAATGTTTGTGTGCTGTTTTTTTCTACAGCTTACAAGAAGCCATAATAGAAAAGAGTACTTTTTCCTCTGTTCATGAAAAAAATAAACTGATTTTCATACATTTATGTCTAATTGTGTTTATAATTCAATTTTGATAATATCTGCATAATAAAGGTCCAAAGGATTTAAACGTTGCCTACAAATTCAACTTCTTGACAGTGTTTTTTTTTTTTTTTTTTTTTTTTTTTTTTTTTAATTCAGGTTTGTGAATACCACTCATTTGAACTAATCCCTGTCTAGCTCAGATTTAGAGGCCCTGCCCTGGGCTGGTCAAATTGTGGTGTTCTGTCTGAATGGTATGTAACACAGGGTTATTTTTGAGAAACCCTTGGCGTAAAATTGATATTGGAAACCCTAAAATGTTAGCTCAACAGCTTCTGGTACATTGGTGTGATCAGCAAGCTGTTAAAGGAATTTTTTTTTTTCAGAAACTGCATTAAATAGACTAATACCAAAAAAAATTTTTTTTTCCTGCACATATGCTCAATTCTGGGTCAAACTTGAGATGAGCAGCGTACAGGGGTTTAGGAGGCCACAGCACAGGAGGACACATTAAAAGGGGGAGGGGTGAGAAAGCAGCAGGGCACATCATTTTACTTTAGGGTTTACAGCAGCTCCCCTGTGCCATTCTGCATGAGAAGAAAACTATTCTTGTGTGCCGGTACCTGCTGGACCACCTCATTTTATCCATCCTATGTGATGTCACATACATACCCGTGGGATGGAAAGGAGGGGTAGGGACTGAAGGTTAACAATGGAGACACTTGTTGCCTCCCTGCTACGCTCTGCTACTGTAGATCATACCCTCACTGTCATCTAGTCAGCATGTACAGTCCAGTGGGCATTAAAATGTAATATGTCAAGCTGCATCTAGCACAGCAGACTAACATCTGGAGTATGTATCTAGCACAGCAGACTATAACATCTGGAGTATGTAATGTACAGGGTCCACTGCAAAACCCCAACCACCACACCTTGTATGCCCTGCCATACATTACAACATACCACCACCTTCCCAAGCAAAAATCCCCCTCCCTCAAATTCTCTCCCCCCTCCCCCTCAGTAGCCATTGAAAGCTCACATTTGCACCTTTTTACTGAGCCACCCCTTCCACATTTTACTTCTTCACCCCCTCCTCTGCTCTACAGCTCAGACCAATCCACAGTTCTCCATCCTACATTCATCCTCCACCTTCCCCATTCACAGCTCTCTGCAGTGCATCCAGGCCCCTCCTTTACAGCTCACTGCAGCACCCAGCCCCCCCTTCACACCTGTCATCTCTACATCCTGCCCATTCATCCCCCCTTCTCAATCACAGCTCTCACCTTCTGCATTCACCCTCCTTTAGAGCTCTCACCTGTTTCCTTACAGACTGCAGCATGGCTCTGTTAGATGGTTGGGGCACGCTGACTGGTATCTTTGCCTTTCTTAGTGCTGCTCTGCCTGTCTTATCTGCATCCAGCCCACCTTTACAGCTCATCTTTGCATCCAGCCCATCCCACTTCATCAGGCCTCTCATCTGCTGCCAGCCCCCACCATTTCATCTCTGTACCAAACTCCTTTCCACAGTTCCTACCCCTGCACTGAGCTCCCCTCCTTCACCACTCTCACCTGTGTGCTTAGAGCCTGCAGCATGGCTCCCATAGGTTATTGGGGCACACTGACTGTCTTTTTTGGTTACGTGTGTACCACTGTTTGTTGAAGTCAATCCGCTGGTTTTTGCTGAACTGGCAGACTTTTGCTATGTGTACCAGGCTTAACAGAACAGGGCTGTGCCAGGAGTATTTGGAATCCGAATCCTTTGTTGTGCCATGTGTGTTAGAGCACAGTGGGCCCCACACAATGCATTCATGGAGCATACATCCGAATTCTAGACTAGCTAAATCTGTCTAGGGGTACTACATGGGCACCCCTTTAAACTGACTTTTTTACATGATTGATGGAAGTTCAATCTGCATCCTGTCCCCCTTTTCACAGCCCTTATCTCTGCATCCAGCCCATTCCCCCCTCAGCCCTCTTGCTTTGGTACCCAGCCTCTGTCCCTTCACAGCTTTCACCTCTGCACCCAACCTCTGCTGTTTCACAGCTTCTGACTCTGCACCCTCCCTCCCCTTCACCATGCCTACACCCAGGTTCCTCTTCTC